CTCAAAGAATTATTATAGAAGAGGCCAGCTTTTCATCTGAGGGGCATTACCGTTGTGTTGCTACAAATGAGTACGGTACGGCGTCTACTAAAGCTGAACTCCGAGTAGAAGGTAGAAATTTTCTTATTCAACTTAGTTTACAACACAGACAAGTGCCATCAACACTGGAGTATTAATAATACATTGAATCTGATACATGAGATAAAAGCGGACATGAGATCATGAATCACATTGAAATTGACTCGTGGTGCTAACTATATTTCAACTACACATTCACAATAGACCTTCGCTAGTGGCTTTCATGACGGAGTAAATTTGCAAATAGCTGCAGTCTGAAACCTGCTCAATGGATGGTCAGCAAATGAATTCAACCATTTACCCGTACGATTCATAAAAATAGCCACTTGCTTTGACCTTTTCCTCCTTGGATATCCTAGGATCCAGTTTTCGTAATGTACAGGAGTGCCTAAAACTGACTTTTGGTCCTTGTGCTCTACGGTGTTCAAATCAATCAAGCGGTAGCTATGATCGTTTTCCAAAGGACTGAACATCATTAATGATTACTAAACAAAGCTTGGAAGACTTTACCATCTAGCCAGTGAAATACGAATTCTTTCTTCAGTGATTTCATGGTTTTAGCTTTACCACCAATAATAACGTACAAAAGATTTGTCACTTTTTTCTTGGCTAGTCCTGCAATCAGAAAACAACTTTTAAGGGGATAAATGGAATGTATATTGCTGGTAGGTGAACGTCATACCTTACCTAAAACAAACTCATTTTCTTTTCTGTTTTTGATTGATGTTAGTGTGGCCGTCCGTGTCGTCGTTAGATCTGCAAAGCAACGTTTTTTGCACGATGCAATCGGATAATTAAAGGCTTAAGCCACTGGTTGTGAGCCAGAATGGGCTTACCTGGAGCGCCTTCACACAGTTCATCTGCTTCGAGCATTGTTAGATTTTCATGGGTATATGCTCTATAGCAAGCCTGAGTTTCGTTATTCCAAGTCCACTTCTTCGGACACTTGTCTTTCGTTTTACCGCTCAGGTTCCTCATCCCGTCCTGCTGACATATTACTTTTGCTTTGGAATTACAGTCTCTGTTGAACCACCTTCCACGCTGGTTAACAACCACACAGCGCTGCATGATGCTCATGCCTTTGGCATGATGGTCCCAATTTGCATATTTAACTACACCTCCGTTGGCTCCCGGTTCTACAAAAATTTTGCTTTTCTGTGTTTACTTGATAATCAGAAGTTAATGGTAATTGGTGCTTACCTTTTGTTGGCCATCGGAGGACAAAACCAGGATAATTCAACCCAGCATCCGCAGCAATAATATCGAAAACTGCTTCAGCTGACAACCAAACTGACCCTCCGTTATTGAGCTCTAAAACATTTCTTGAATAATACTTGAAAAATAATAAACAGTTGTGTCTGCAACTATTGGGAAACTGACTTTTGATAAAACTATTTTGTTCCTCATCTTCTACTTTTAATAAACTAGATTCTCTTCCAAATTCAGAACAGTACTGTTGAGCTTCTTTAAAATTCATCGGTTTTTGTACGACTAAGTAGCAGCGTTTTGATGGGCGATAAAATGCCCAGTTTTTCGGACATTGAAGCATTCGACCAACTACAAGGCTACTCATTAGCATTACTATCGGAAACTTAAACATTTGGAATGCACTTGTCGTTTTGTCTGAAATTTCGCATATTTAACGCTTTTATTGATTAATTTGCGAAACTTGATAACGTTGAAAGCGAAAAAGCGCCATTGTACTGAAAATTCTTCGATATAGCTACTATGAAAAACTAGTGGGAGAATAAAAGGAAATACAACTTTTATGCAAAAGGCATGTAATGTTAGTAACTGACGACCTGTATAGTGGTTGAATAGGAAATCATAGAACGTTTCAAAATTTTAATGGAGTATTATAACAGTTTACGGTGATAACTATACGAATAATTTATTTAAAGTTATAACTGGATGACGATAAGTCCTTCTAAATATATTTTCATCACTGTTTTTTTGCTTGCTTTTGAAGGTGCTCGTAAAATTAGTATACAAAAACCGGAAGAACCTTTGGAACCAGAAGAAAAGAAACCTCGTATAAGGCGCGGTTTATACAATATGAATATCCATCAGGTAAAAATAATTTTTATCACAATCCTTTTATTTGCAGCAAATCAATTTTTAAAAAATCAGACATGGATTTTTTGTATCACTTACCTTCAAACCGTCTACACTTCGAGGAAGTATAGAATGTGAAATAATTAAATTATAAAAAGTTGTTTTGTTGCGCAGTTGAAAAACGAACTGCGGTAGCTCTGATGATGCTGAAAGCAAAAAGTAGTTTCGGTTAGTATAAATTGGTAAAAAACCTGTAAAAAGTGAATTGAAAAATAGAAGAACGGAAAAGGGGATCTGAGATTAGTATTTATAATTGGGTTCTTTGAGTATTAGTCAAGTTTTTTTGTAAGACTTTGCCGCCAAATGGGTGCCTAGGTTCTTTAGTTACACCGACATGCTGGTGCCAATGGTGACAGTAGGCTGACAAACATTTTTCATTTAATCAAAAAGAATTTGAGCACTCAAAGCGTTCGCGAGAATTTTGAAATGTTTGCACAATTTTTATGTTGATATTAATAGAATCGAATTAATCACTATGTATAAACTATTTTTAAGTTCTTTTTTTTGACTTTGCTTATAATATTTTCTGTGTTACAGTTATCTTACTTCTTAAATAAACATTCATCTAATAAACAATAACGATTAAGGGTAGGCAGCAGATTTTTAGAAGGGTGGAAGAAAAACGAAGGAAATTATAGGATTCAAATTTTTGAACTTAAGAATTTACTGGATACCGAGAAAACAGCAACAGTAGAAGGAAAAGAAAAAAAATGAAAGGAAGAAGGGGAGGTAACAACAAAGTTATAAAGAAAAAAACTTAATTAGCTGCTGATAAATAATGATGTCAATAGGCCAATCAATATGATGCCGTCAAAGAAGAAGAAAGAAAAAAGCGGTTGGATGAACATCAAAGTAATATGATTTTTCAGGGGAGTAACATCGAGATGCAGGTGTGTACATCTGGTTGGCCTACGCCCACTGTGAAATGGTTCAAAGACGGTGCCGAACTCCTACCAGACGATCATCGCCTTATATGGACAGATGAACGTGGCATTCACCGTTGTATCATTCTAAACAGTTCACCGGATGATGAGGGAGAATACAGTTTAGAGGCAACCAACAAACTTGGAACTGCCAAAACAGAAGGCCTAATAACAATAATAAAACCACGTGAAGCTGAAGGCTACTTGGGTGACTCTCGGTAAGGAATTGCATTTTTTGGAGAAGGAGAAAACATTAACTTTCTTTTTCCACTGGCTACAAATGGCCGATAAACTGTATCGTAGAAATTGAACAAAAACAATCCAAAAAAAGTTGGTCAGTAAGAACCTATTTCACCAACTTTCGTCATACACAATTTTGAAGAGGTGGCATACCGTATCCTCCTGGATTTATAAGGCAACTGAAGAATAAGCACGTCTTCTCGCATATGCCAACAATATTCGACTGTCTCATCGTTGGGCATCCACCTCCAGAGGTTACATTTTTTTCATTTTACCCCGCGACCCAACCCCTTACACCCTATTCCCGCAACCCACCCCCACTTCCACTCCCTCTCGTCTCACTAATGTTGTCTCCTCCCTCTTACCAGCTGTTGTGTCATCGTCGTAAAGTCAGTATTTATTTTTTTACTTAAGCACTGTAATTTACCTTTTTTACACTTAGTCCTACTTACTGAGCAGTTATTCTATAATTGATGACAGGTTTTTTACATTTCTTTAGAGGAAGATGACTCGCTGTAGTTGACATTTTTTTCTTTTACAGAAAAATACAGTTATAAATTTGTGTATTTTTTAACGCAAAACAACAAAAAGGAGGAAGGAAGAAGAAAGCGGTTTTCTTTTTCTTTGTTATTTTCTTTATCTTTGTTCATTTTTTAAAATAGGCGGAAAAAAGTGCGTCGGAAAGAAATAACAAAGCAGGAAACTCAAAAAACGTTGTTACACATTTTTTCTAGTTGGAGGGAGTATTTTTTTCTAATGTTCGGTCTGTAAACTTGTGTTTCTTTCCATAGTTTTATTAGGATTACCACAAAAAAAAAGTTTTTAATTCTTTCAGAAAAGCAGACAGAAGCATGTTGTTCTAACGAAAAATCTTGAAAATTAATTACATTTTTTAAATCCGCACTTTTATTTTAAAAAAAATTTTGAGAAATAAGTGATCGGCTTCTTAGTTGTTTAATTAATATTTTGGGTTTCTCAGGACGATATTACTTTTCCTTAATTTGATTGAGGAACAGAATTTGCTTCTTAAATTAAGAGCAAAGAGGGGAAAAACGGCAACAAAAACAAAAATAATGCAAACAGTCGAAATTGTTAAGTGCTTTTCTTACAACTCAATGACTCATCAATATACATTTGATTGTTTTGCTGAATTGTTCGGGTGCTTTTTCTTGTTTGTTCAGTTGCTCAGTTTCTGCAGGAAAGGTAAGGCTTTTCCAGAGTCACTTTATCGATTGTAGTTAACAGAGGAAAAATCCAAGAATTTCCAATTCCACATTTTCAGTTATCTCGACACAGAAAATTATTAAATTTCTGGGGCTGATAATCTGTATAATTTGCCGGCATAGTCACATAACGACAGCGCCCGTTAGTGTTGCAGTTGCGGCAGTTTAAATTAGCATCTTGAATTATTGTCTTTCCTTCATCGCTTTTTTCCTTCCTAAAACTTTGAAACTATTCATTGGAGCCTTTGCATATCGTTTAGCAATTTATTTATTCCATTTATTTGAAGTCTTTTGACCGAGAAAAAAGGGGGCGAGGGAGTTCTGCATTAATGTAAATAACAATACTTTAATGTTGCAAAGTATCTTTGTCGCTTATTTATTCTATCTTTGAAACTTCAGAAAAAATTTTTTTGTTTCTATTTATTTGTGTGTGATGTTTATGCTTTCATACGTTTATGATCACTGAACTTATTACAAATTGTTTTCATTTTTTTCTACGTAACCTCTAACCAAACAGTTGAAAGCAAACAAAAAATACAACTGCAGTAAGCCGTTTAGGTTGAATGGTATCATAATGGACAAAGAATTATTCCGGGTGGAAGAGTGAAGATTCAGTCTTGTGGTGGCGGTTCTCATGCAATTATTATTCTGGATACTCTTCCGGAAGATGCCGGTGAATATGTTTGTATAGCCCGAAACTCTCACGGTACAGCATCAAGCAGTGCTGTTCTGGACGTAACAGGTTTCTAATTTCTTAGGAGCATTCTTTTTCTAGTCTCTTTCCCAATTTTAGATTCTTCGACGGCATTTTAGAAAAAAGGCACTTTTATCTGTAAAATTCTTTTAGTTCCTCATCTCGATGAAATCAAGTTTAATGGTGCAGCTGATGTCACTCCCTATCTGACTGAGGAATATGGATTTAGAAAAATTAATTTTGCAAGTATGTTTCGATCCTTGAAAGTTATTATAAATGCAATAAGAATAAGAATACACTGAAAAAGACATGCGTCGGGGTTGCGTTGTTCTTGTATCGTAATTGTGTGGGTGCTTCAGGTTTCCCAACACCACCAGATCGTGGTCCATTCATCAAGGAGGTAACTGGTCATTACTTGACCCTTTCATGGATTCCAACCAAAAGAGCACCTCCACGCTATCCACAAGTTACTTATGTAATTGAGATAAGAGAACTGCCAGAAAAAGAATGGACATTGGTAAACGCTCTTTTTATGCACTCATCGACCGCTTTTTTCTTCGGTTATGCACGTTGATCGCATGTGAACAGTCATTTAGTTGAAAATTTTGGGTGTTTTTAGACAAATTACAACATTTTTTCAATTTGCTTGAATGACAATAATGGTATGAAAAATTGATTCGTTTTTAGGAGTTTATTAATTACTTGTCGCGTCAAATCTAAAATATTATAATGTTGATATTAGGACAAAGTATGAGTGTACCAAGCGTATTCTTCCAAATCTGTAATCTAATTTGCAGTTGGATTACAACATTCCGGAACCAGTTTGCAAAGTACGTAATTTGGAATTAGGTAAAAGCTATCAGTTCCGAGTTCGTGCAGAAAACATTTATGGTATCAGTGATCCTTCGCCAGCTTCGCCTCCGTCGAGGCTAATGGCTCCTCCTCAACCTGTTTTGGACAAGAACAAACGAGTCATACCACTCTTAGATCCTTATGCCGAAAAAGCTTTAGATCAAGCATATGCTGAACAATACGGTAAAACTTTTTTTTAGTTTACTGAACACTCGCAATGCTTATCGCAAATGATTGAACCTTGTATGACTGCTGTGTACCAGTCGACATTTTTTTAGCTTGTGCTCCGTGGTTTGCACCAGGAGTTGTGGAAAAGAGGTATTGTGCTGAAAATGACACTTTGACAATAACACTTCACGTTTCTGGTTATCCTGATCCTAAAATTACGTGGAAATTCCGTGGATGGGACTTGGATACCACCAGTCCTCTATCGAAGTAATGTTTGTTGTCTTTTTTTTTCGAATTTCATGATTATTTCCGCGTCGTTTTTGAAAAGTGCGGAAATTCTTTAGGACTCGTGTTGTTACTTATGGCGGTACGGAAACAACTCTAACGGTGTCTGGATTTGATAAAGATAATGCTGGTCAGTACCAATGTGTTGCCGTCAATCAATACGGTGAAGCTCAGCAGAATGTCTTTGTCGATCTTGCGGGTATAGCTATTGCTTTTTTAGTCAGATACTAAAATTAATAGGTGATATTAATTCAAACTTACAAGAAATTTTCAAAACTATATAAAAACATTTCAGTGTGGCGTCTGTGTTCTAGTTATCTGACTATTGGTTTTTTGAAAAGGCAGCTTTTTTTGAAGATTTGAGAACGATATGTAATGAAGTTTAATAGTTTTTCTGGTTTTTTAGTACGGCCGAGTTTCCTTCAACCTCTAGAAAACAAAATTGCTTCTAGCGCGCAACGTTTACGATTAGATGTACGGGTAGATGGAAATCCGTTTCCTGAACTAAAATGGATGAAGGTTTGCACAAATGGAACTAGCATATTTATTATTTGTTATACTGCGTTGTTAGTAGTCATCTGAGTACATTTGAAGGAGTGGCGGCCAATAGTAGAATCCTCTCGAGTACACTTTGTCCAAGATGGTCCATTCCTGTGCTCACTTATTATTGAAGATCCAATGTGGCGAGATTGCGGAATCTATTCAGTAACTGCTACAAATGAAGCTGGAACTGCAACTACTTCATGTTCGGTCACCGTTGAAGGTTAGTGGTCATTATTATTTTTCTGTTTATTTCTGTAGCCAAATTAAAGAGGAAGAGTAAAAAAAAATTATTTTGGTGTTATTTTCGCTGCTTACTTTTTCAACAATAATTTTTCTGTAGTTTTTTCCACTGCCTTTTTTTGTAGGTTCAGATTATACATCCAACTTTCAATTGGCTTTTCACTGCATGTTTTGCCTGTTGTTACTGTTTATTGCTTTTGTTACTGGTTACGTTGTGAATGATTCCTCACAGATAATATTTGTTAAATTCTAGCTGAAGGCGACTACAATGATGTTCAACTGCCGAAAAAACCGATTAATCTGGAAATGAAAAAAGTTCGAGACCTATATGAAATTGATAAGAAGGACGAGAAGTAAAACAACTTTTTTTTTCCTACTGGTTATATCAGCAGAGCTAAAAAAGATTTTTTGTTTCGTTTTGTTTTTTTTTCTTTTTTATAGACTTTAATTATTGTGCTTTTTAATTTTTTGTTCCCAAAAGTTTTTTGTGTTTGTTCATCTACATGTATCATGTTTGTCACCGTATCTGGATCAAACATGTATTGATTAGTTTGGCTTAGACCAATTTGTTGATCAATTCATGCTTGATTTGCCCCGAAGATCACTTCAGCAACAACAAAAACAAAAATTAAAAAAAAAACCACTTTTATTTTGAATAAAACAAACAAAAAAAAAAATTTTTTTTATTTTCAAATATATAATTTTGATTTAAAAACAGTCAATTGATTTTTTTCTGCTTTTTCCCCAACTCCCTTTTCTTCCCCCAAATAACCTGTGATATAACGTGCTAGATTTTTTTCTTTGTTTTTTTTTTTATAAATTTTGCCAGTTTTTTCAATTCTTTTTCTTTTGCTACAATTCTTAAATTAACGAAAGGTGCTAATAATGTGCAATGTGTGATTACTGTTGGACAAACAAGCAAGCAAACAAACAAAATATCTTGTTTGATTAGAAAAACATAAAGAAAAATGGAAGACTTGTTTGATTAAAGAAAAGAGAGCAAAAAATAGTAAGGTACTGCTGGTACTGTTTTTTTCCTTTTTTTTTGAGGAGAGGGGGGGAAGGTGGTAGAGGAGTGGAGGGAAAATTTAGTTGAATTGACTGATTTTTTTAATTTGTCCAACAGTAACTGTACAATGCCACTGAAAAGAAAAAAAAAAGCACAGAAAAAAGAAAAGTAATAATAATGATGGCGGAACAAAAAAAAATTCCCGATGGTTTATTTGAATTATACTGTACATTGAATTTTTTTGCTCGCGGTACTCGTTGTGTCCAATGTTCACAGATTTATTATAATAAATGAAGAATGATATTACTGTGCTTATGTGTTTGGCGATATAATTGTGTAGAGGATTTGAGAGTGTTGCTGTGCCTTGCTTTTGCCTGAAAAAATTTCAGCATCATTTATAGTTCACGAAACGGTGCTCCTGAAGATTTGTCGAAAAATTCCTATCTTCTACTGTACAATTTTTTCCATTCCGCACCCAATACAATTTACCCAAATAACAACAACTGCATCAGTGCACTTCTTTTTTCTTTTGCTGCTGCTTGTTACCATCTAACAAACCTTTTTTTTGCTTTCATGTTTTCTTTTTTTTTCTGAACACAGTAGAAAATAGCAGTTTTTCGATATTCAGAAGCAACAAGGCCAAGTACTCTCTCATGCTCCACGCAATCAATCGCTACGTCCGGCGTCATCGTCGATGTGTTGTCAAAAATAGGTCCTGCTACTCGTGAAACAGACCAGAGTAACAGCATACAGTTTTTGTTCTACTGTTCAAAGACTGTGCTGTTGTCCATCCACGTCGGAGACTGATTATGATGGTGCTGGCGCTGCTGCTGTTGCTGATGCCAATGTTGCCGTCGCTGCCGCTTTTCGTGCTGTTGGATGGTCAACGAGAGAAGCAGTGAGAGAGTGCTGGGACTTGCATGCTTCTGTTTCGTTGTTTCTGCTTGACTGTTGTGTCTGAAAAAAGAAAAGAAAAAGAAAGCTGAAAAGTGGTATACAAGTTAGATTCTGTCTTCAGGGTAGCAGCTTCAGGAGCACCATTTCATGTAACTGAACGTGCAACAGGCAAATGCTTTTTGGCACAGCTACGTCCAGTAGATGACAGTCTTTCACGAAACATCGACATCTACAACACGATAAATCATCCAAACATTGTACAGTTACGTCAAATCGTTGCCGACCAAGGGATTGCAGTTGTCGTCTATCAAAAGTAAATGAAATTTCAAATTTCTAACTAATCTCAGTCAACAGTAAGGGGAAAAAGAACCCAAAATTACGTCGTGATTTTGCGTCAAAACACTTCTTTTTACGACCACAGTCTCGGCGGTCACTTAGGGGTAGGTATAGAACAACAACAACAATACATTTTCATTCATATCGGCACAAGTAACAGAGGATTGGTATAAAGTGGCATCAGGTTGCCAATTAATCTGACAGCCATAATACTTCGCGAACAGAAATTTTAAAATTTTCTTATCAAACACTGCTGTCCAGGCTAAAGCATTAGTTAGCCAATAAAATCAATGGAATTGCGATTGTTTCTGGCGCAATCTAAATTTCACACTTAAAGCAATGTACTCTGAAGACTAAAGGAAAAAAGAAAAAAGTCTTTATTGATTAAAGAACGATTGCTTTCCCAGCCAACGTTTTTTGTTTTAAATGCAAGCAATTTCACGTATGAAATAAGTTTTTTAAATCACATTTAAAATTTGACATATGTTTGAAACAAAACCAAATTAATTTTTCCTTTTTGACCCGCAAAACCTTTATTTCGTTACGGAAGAATAATTTTTCAAGACATCGGTACGCAGTTTTCCTGCAGTAATTTGTGCCTTTGGCAACGTAAAATTTATGCCATATTTTTGCATTATTTCTTGGCCTTTCTATCTCTTATGGGATTA